TTAATTTTTACATATTTTAAAATTAATTTTTTTCTAAGTGATTTTAAAGCACGCTCCACATTCACCTACTTATTAAAAGAAATTATTTTTTTCAAATATTGTCTCAAAAATCACACTTATTCACTAGTAATTCAACCTTAGAGTAAAAAAGAAAAAAGTTAATTATTAAATAATATAAATATTATATTTAACATTTTAAATAAAGTGATTTATATTAGTTAGTCATTAATCATTCTATTATTAAATTACACTTATTCACTAGTAATCCAACCTTAGAGTAAAAATAATAATAATTATTAAATAATATAAATATTATATTTAACATTTTAAATAAAGTGATTTATATTAGTTAGTCATTAATCATTCTATTATTAAATTACACTTATTCACTAGTAATCCAACCTTAGAGTAAAAATAATAATAATTATTAAATAATATAAATTTTATATTTTAAGATTTTTATCTATCCCTATCATTCTATTATTTGAGAGAAAAATGCCTAATAATCACTGAAGGATAATATTTTCTAGGTAGTTCCTAATATTTGTTTCTTGAAATGAGTGGTTACTGAATTATTTTAATACTTCCTCAATGAAGTAGAAAACTTCTCTTTTTAAGTTTTTTCTTTTTAAATGGTTATATTTTTTGAAATTTGTAAAATGGACATTTGTTATTCAAATTGATGGGGACTTTTCAAGGGATGTTTTAAAAAATTGATATGATATGGGGACTCGATTAGATTGTTTAATAAAATTTAGGAACCCAATTATAAAAAAATGAAAAGTTAAAGGGATAATTAATCTCAAACTCATAGAGATAATTCACTTTTTTTATGTAAATTATAAGGTAATATACAAGTGTATAGATATAAATTAACTACTTAAGCAAAGTACACATATAGAAAAACTTAAAGAAAATCTGCATGCAGAGGAGCTCAAACTTACAACCTTGAAATTGTAAGGTCTTAACTTCAAAGTCTTTAATTAGTTGTAAGACTTTATTAAAAGTGCTAATTTTTCTTTCATATGGTTAGAGATAATAAATCTTTTTGCCTGAAATAATCAGGACGTCATCACTTTTTTGTTTATACTGTACATAATTTTTTTTTATTAACCTTCTTGTGTCTAGAAATCACATTAAATTTAATTAATTCGAAATTGAGTCGCATCTAACCCTGCACGAGAGGAAACTCTTTCAATACTTTTTTTTTTTTTTCATAAAACTTGAATTTAAAATTTTATTTTAAAAAAATTAAACTATTTTCTCTCGTACTAACAAATCGTGGATATATACTTTACATAATTGCAAAACAAAAATTATTGAATTGGAGTGGTAGATTCAAAACATGTCCAATTCGGAGATGCTGGCCCAAGATTTTAATTCTATGACTACAATACAGGTCCAAGATAGGCTCTTTGGGTCCGTAGCGTACTCCTCAGTCCTCACTTGAACTTCAGGCAGCACAAGTCCAACTCTTTTCTAATATAAATATGGGCCACAATTTTTCTTGATACCTTAACTGTTTCTAATAGGAACTTTACTCCTGACTTTCTCTCCATTGGGGCAAACATAATGAGAAAAGTGAATTTTTTAATCCCAAAATGCTACGGTTATATTGTCATTTAAGATTGTAAGTTTATAATCATGATGTGATATTAATTAAGTATAATATATTATTAAATAAATAAATACATATAATATTATAAATAAATTCTCAGTAAAAAAATCTATTATATAAACGACACATTATATTAAAAACTTACAATGTTACATGATATTAAACTATATATATTTTTTAATGTGATACTGAAAGTTAGATGCTTACCATTATATGGTAGAGATTTGAACTTTGAATTAATGAGCTTAATGCAAAAACAAGGTTATGGCTTCATTTGGGAGTGTACTGTTGGGCTAGGCTTTGATATGGCAATAAGTCCTTTATTCTTTTTTCATTGTAAACATATATAAAATATTAGTTGAAATTAATTATTTATAACAAATTTAAGTTTTTATACACAGTGCTATGAGAAAAAATTCTGTGCAAGTTACTCCTCAATGAGGCGTAAATAATTTTTGGGTACAATTTTACAATTTAAGAGTTATTTTGAGATTATTACTACTATATTTTGTTAATACTTAGAAAGTATTGTGAATTGTAAGACAAAAATATTGTGAAGGTAATCTCAAACAAGACCTAACCTTATTGGATTGATTGTACTGGTATAGCATGGTTAGGTTATCTGTATTTCTATAAAACGTAAGAGAAAAATATTTTTTAGACCATCTATCTAAGTAATTTAGTGATAGTTTAAGAGCTTTAAATTCAAATTACTAATAAATAAAGTGGGTTAAGGGATATAAGAGGATCATCATTCATTATACATATTGAAGGTTGTAAAAAGTGCTAAGTGCTGGTAAGCGATTACCCACAGCTTAAGATGGTGCCTAAACTACCTAGGTGGTTTTTTTTTTCATAATAATAATTTTTTGATATAATTCTAAAAAAAAAAAAGAAAAATATGTAAAACAATTTTAAAAATTATAAAATAAATAGAAATTTTGAACATTTTTCTATTCATTATCATGTTTAAAGAGTAAAATTTAGGGGAATTACTTAGTATTTAATGTTTTTTTTAATATAATTTTTATAATAAATTAAATGACATCATTTCATTAAACTAAAAAATTAATTAAAGAAATTTGCTCAAGTGCTTTAGGTACAATAAAGTGCAACTAATAATGCCTAAGTGTGTTTAATTGATTGACCTATTGAATTTCTACCTAAAGAATGATGAGGGCAAAACGGCACCCCATAGACACTAGCCTAGGCCTGCTTTTTACAACACCGTGCAGCATATTATTATGTAAAAGGTTGATAATATTAGACTGCAAGGTTGGCGAATTTTGTACATTGTTAATTGCATTATGCTTACGAAAGACAAATGAAATGAGTTTTGAATTACAAATTTGAGTTTCTACTTTTTACTTTTTACCAGTACTTTCTAATGCTTTAATAAACAAAGCATGAATAAGTGAGACCATGATCATCGATTACTAATCGATGGAAGAAAACTGAGTCCAAAGTTTTGGAAGGGTGTTAGATATAGTACTAATCATCATTAAGTTCCTAATTAAAGTTGCATAGATACAAATCAATTTCAAATTAATGCTATATATGTTTACCATTACAATGCATGCTTTCCCTTCGGGTCAAGCATGAAAGTGGACAATTACCTCAAAAGGTAAAATTGTAAATCATGACATGAGAGGAACACTAATCATTATGTTGCTAATTAGAGCCAAGAATGCCTTGTTTAAAACAAATTACTTCCAATGCTGATCAACTTGATCAACTTTTCCTTCTACCAAGAAAGGGAAATGGATGAATAAAAAAAAAAAAGAAGTGATTTTTAGCAAATCATAGAGTAGTCCACACCAAAGATATGTTTAAAGTCATCATTCACATAGCTTTCCAAAATGGCCTTCCATTCTAAAAGTTGCATCTCATCTTATTGCTTATATAACCCATTAAGGGGGAAAAGAGATCCTAAAGCCTGCAAGTTATTTTAGAAGTGCTAGAAATAAGCTAATCAAAGTCCATGAGTTCACTATAATAACAACCAAAAAATCTAATGAACAAAAAATGAATGCACGCGTGTAGGGATTTAACAGTATAGAAATTAGAAACTGCATAGAACTCCATAATCAAACCACAATAGATTCAGCATAATAGAAGATATAGCTTAATTTGGTGTACAACAATAGCAGTTCCTGCCCTCTCTGTTCTACTGCTGGTTTAGGGAAGTTCTTGCTCGTTTTCTATATTCAAAATTTTCCAAAAATCTGCAATGCTTCTACTACAGTTGCTTGTGATAATCACGACAAAATCCTTTCCTTGAAACTCAAGGGTGTATAACAATCTACCAAGATATATCTAGGACTAAAGAGTGGTAAATCTATAAACAAATAAAGAATGCCAATTCTAATAACATATATAAAGAGTGGGAAAGAACATGCCTTGATTGAACTAAAGTGCGTCTATACCTGCATTCTAGCAAATGCTGCAGCTTTCCTAGGTTCTGATAGCATCACGAATGCCACGTCCTAGGTGCTTCTTGAGGCTATAACCAGGAACATTTGGGACTACCTCTAATTGTTGTTACCTTACACACACAGCATTTAGTAGGATATGGCCTAACATGAGATCAACAAAATACTGGTGTCCAATTCCACCATCCCTCCACTTCATCTTCAGAGGAGCCCTACCGTAATGAACTCCATCATTGCACCGGTTATCAAAATGCCATGGAAATGTCATGTCAAAGTTGTCAATCACCCCCGAAACCAGCCCAGCTTGTCTAAATTTATCCAACAACATCCCATTAAATGCCTCCATCTTACTAGGATTAAAGCCCAAAGATCGTGCATATCCACCCGTTGCCACGGTTGTCCTGTAAAAGATTTGAGGCACTTCCAGCCCTCTCAGCCTTATTGATTCCATTATTTCTTTCCAGAATGATGCTGCATATGCTGCACCAGCAGAAAATGCTCTTACACTAGACCAGTGAATACCATCATGCAAGCCAGAGTTCATGATGATTGTGTCTGGAACGGTCTCCTCCAAGAAGTACCTCTTCACCAATTCCCTAAATCCTCCATCCCTCAAAGAATCTAACCCCAAGTAGTTCCCTGATTCATTCCAGTGACCATTGAAAATGCTTGTGATTCGAACTGTCTGAGAAGGATCTTTTGGGTTTGAGAAATTCATATCAAATCTCCTGGGAACAGAACGTATTTCAGGCAAATCCAACATGAAATTCAGCATGTTCCTTATCGTGTCAACATGATTTGAATCACCCCAGAAGAAAATCCAACGATTCTTCAAGCAATTCCAGGCAGAATCCGCCGAAAACAACTTGAATGAACAATGTGCTGAATATACCCAACCATTACTCTCTAATGCACCTAACAAACCATTACACCATGGATTTTGACATGGAAAATTCAGCGGTAGGCACCGGAATCGACCGTCGTAACTAATTTGACAATCATCATTCTTCCCATGCCTTGTCCACCGGCCCGACCAGACATCTCTACTAAAATCAGATTTCTGACAAATTTGCAGCTCCGGTAATGGAGGAGCTTTACTTTTAAAGAACTTGACTCCTACATGACGCAACTCTCTATCATATGCAAATCTAGAGGATGACAATTTCAGGCCCTCAAAATGTCTGAAAAGTAAAATCAAAGAGAGCTTGTAGTCACCAGAAAAATCTGGATGAACCTGAAGCGAAATCGAGTAAGACCCGTTGCCGAAATCCTTCACCGGCGGACGAGATTTCCACGACTCCCCTGACAGATCGGTCTCGAAGTAATCTCCCCCCAAGCAGCGGGTATTACCAGATTCATCGAGCGCTTGAAAAACAAACTCATGGATTTCACCGGCGGCCAATTCCACAATATCCCGTCCATCCAAACCCGGAATCGCAATCTCCACCGTACGAGAATCCTTACAAGGCTCCCCTCCTGGAGCCATCCATCTAGTGATAAGATTCTTTGTAAAGTTCGCTTCCAATTCAGCTGAAATCCAGCTCAACTCCGAAAAGCGTTCCCCATTTTTCTGTATCACGTTTGAAGCGCTTGAAGTGTTCGACGAAATGCTGGAACCAATTGAATCTTCGTCGTTCTTGCTCAAATCAACTGGAACTCGGGTTTTTGTTCGATTAAAAATTGGGACATGGGTAATATTCAAGTTGGGATTTTGAAGGATTTGGGTAAGATTTTGGTGTGTTTGGGAGAGATCAGACAGGTTTATGACTTTCATATTTATGTAGTCTTGCTTGAACCTCCATGACTGGATGAAGCTCTGGATGGTGCAGCCGTCTATGCTCCAAACAACAATCATCCCCACAAAAACCAGAGCTGTTAGCAACCCAAATCGCCACTGATGCAAAGGGCTAAAACGAAACCCCCATGTGTTCGACAATGGAGGTCCGTCTGCCTCTTTCTCCGGCATCTGGACTCTGTAATCTCACCAGAGTCACGACCTAAAAAAAAAAAAAAAGGACTCACAATTAACAAACTCAAAAAACCCAGAAAAAATGACAGGTCTGAGAAAGAAAGACAGAGCACATTCCGAAAAGCTTGAGTAATCCAAACAACGCTAAAATTTTCCCAAGAAAATATAGAGAAACAGAAAGATTAGCAACTTTAGTAGCAAGTACGGTATGCTTACTAGGAAATGCTTTCCTTCAGAAAACCCTTCTCTGCTTCGATTTCGTATGAAGAATAACTTACTCCAGCTAAACAAAGATGACACGATATATATATATATATATATAGATATTGCTTGCTTCCTCACTGTTTTCAGTTCGTCCTTGAAGGCAAAGAAAATTAATTTCAGCAGGTTTCTCTGAAATCTACGGTACAGAGGCAAACATCCCTGAACTCTAAATCTTTATTCTTACATTTTACTTTTCTTCTTTTCTTTTAAAAAAATTGAATTACTTTTCTTTTTCCTTTTTTTTTCTGTAATTATGACTTCTTGGAGAAAGAGAGGAGGAGGAGGATGACGCGGACGGCGTGGAGCCCTGCCAGGGCGAACACCGAAGACCTGTAAGGCTGTAATAAAAGAGAAAGACAATTTGTGCCGTTGACAATAATGTCCTTGTTTGATTTTTTTTGTTTTTTTTTATCAGCGTCCTTCTTTAGAATTGAAAGTGACAATACGGCTCATGTGTTTTCTTTGTTTTCTATATTGCGCTGGCATCCAATTTTAAATAAAAAATAGTAACATTCCTCTTTCGGTTTTTTTTCTTTATTAAACAATAGGATTGGCTTTTTATTTTTTTAATTTCTTTGTATTTATTTTAAAATTTAAATCTATAATTTATAATATAAACATTTAAACTCTAATTTTAATAAATTATCCTTTAAGAGACATATTCCTCTTTCGGTAAACGTAACTAATAAGATGCTTGGGAACTGGTTTTTATAGTATTGGAGACCTCTTAGTATTTTAAGAGCCTGATTTTTTATATTAATTGTCTTAAATTTGATTGTTAAATAAGAAAAGAGTTATTTTTGATCATATAATTTATTATTGTACATATGAAAAAGAAAAACAAAATTGGAGTTTGAATCTAATTATGGATAGATTGACACGATAAAGAGAGCGAATCTAGTTATACTTTCTTTATTTTTATTTAATTTTCATACTTTATAATTAAGTTATTTTTATTTAATTTTTATACTTTTTATTTATAAAATATATTAAATACTTACTTTTTCAATTTACCTTTTTTTTTATAATGAAAAAGTATTTTATTAATTAGACTATATATTAAAAATATAATTTGACGTATAAATTTATTAAATATTTTTAATAAAATTATTTTTTATGTTATTTTATTAGTAATAATTTAATAATTTAAAAGTACATTTCAACCGGTAAAATATGAATCCTTTATTCTAATCTATTAATACATGGAGAAAGCTTTTATTAGTGAGAAATATGGTATTTCAAAAAAATAATCATCGCACTTTTTATTTCTTTCCAAATTTCTTTTATAAGTGTAAAGGCTCATGGTTGGGTAACTGAAAAAAAGGAATTATCTCATTTTAATTTTTTTTAGAAGTATTAATTAACATAAATAGAATTTTGAGAGAAGGATTAAGTTCTAAGTTAATATAAAATAATTATAAA